TTGGTATTTTTATATAAATTCTGGGAGAGCAGAGGAGAAAAGTCCGGGAGGATGGTGAGGTAAGAGACACAAAATGTTTTTTCTCCAGCTGTGTCCATGTGTCCTCAGAATCACAGAATCACGTGGGGTTGGAAGGGATCATCTAGTCCTGCCCAAAGCCACCGCAGCTGGGCACCACCACACCCTGCTGATGCTGACCCGTTCTCCACGGATTTGCCAGAACTTTTTTTGAAACCATTTTGGAAATCTACTTTGTCCTGTCTCACATCCGGCTGCAGGGAGCTCAGTGTGGTCTTCTTCTGCGAGCAGAAGGTCCTTCACACACACCACGTCTCACGGTGGGACTCTGTATGAGCCAAATCCCTCCTCGGGCAAAGGCAGGTCTCACTTTTCCTCCTCTGGCTCCCACCCTGTGGGAGCTCCCACACCCCTGCATCCTCCTTGCAGAGCATGAGACATAAATTCCACCGATTCAAAGCTGTTGCAGTAAAGTCTCCACCTCACTGAGCTACAAATTCACTTGGTTTATATGTTTCAGGAACTATTTTTTTTATTATTTTTTTTTTACTACTGCTCTGAACTTAATTTGCAGTATATTTTGCAAATGTATTCTTCCTGTAGGTGGCTTATTGCTTCTGGATGCTGTGCAAATAGCAGCCATTCTGCTTGTGTCAAAAGCTGCAGAAAATGCTTATTGTTTCCTTAATGTGCCATTTCCTGGGCAGCACATATGCAGTGCGGGGAGGGGAGCAGAGGAGAACCACTTGTCTGCGAAATGAGGAGCTCCACGGCTTTCACTCGTCCAACGGCAGCTTTTTTTGTTGATGAAGCAGCGAAACCTTGGGAGGCAATTGTCCCCCCAGAGTGTGAGGCGCTCCGTATCTGTCACCGCTCGTGTCCCCCTGGATAATGGCTGGGAAGGGACGAGCTCCTCTGCTGCACGTTCCAATGCAGAAAATGCTTATTGTTTCCTTAATGTGCCATTTCCTGGGCAGCACATATGCAGTGCGGGGAGGGGAGCAGAGGAGAACCACTTGTCTGCGAAATGAGGAGCTCCACGGCTTTCACTCGTCCAACGGCAGCTTTTTTTGTTGATGAAGCAGCGAAACCTTGGGAGGCAATTGTCCCCCCAGAGTGTGAGGCGCTCCGTATCTGTCACCGCTCGTGTCCCCCTGGATAATGGCTGGGAAGGGACGAGCTCCTCTGCTGCACGTTCCAATTTCTGGAGGTGATGAGTCGTGCCCTGGCCAGCGCTGGTGGGGCCTGCTCCATCACAGCTCCATCACAGCTCCATCACAGCTCCATCACAGCCAGCTTCTGGGGCACCAGTCACCTCCTCCCACACCCAGGGGCCACCCTGCACACCTTCCTCCTGGCCTTTGGACCTGATTTATCAGGTCAAATAGAGTGGGTTTAGGCGAGGAGGCTCTCACGTGTGCCCCTTGGGGTGGAGGTGACCAGCTCCCACGGATGTACCCCACACAGTCTGAGGAGCCTGCGTGAAGGACCATGTCCCTGCTGAGCCCTGCGGTGGGGCTGCGTTGGTGAAATCACTGAACACGGGATCGGGCAGGAGGATAACACCCATCATGGCAGAGGATTTTATAATGATGCAGATTTTGGGATTCTTTGAGGTTCTGGCACAGCAGCAAAGTTACCAGCCTGTCTCAAAAGTGTCTTCATGTCCCGGATCAGATGCAGAATCTGTTCAGCCCATTGCCTGCTCTGTAGTGGTCTGTAGTGGGGAACCGGGCAGAGTCCAAGGACAAAGTAAGCGTATTCCTTGATAGATCTTCATCCCTCGCTTGGCTAATTATTCTTTGAACGTATCTTTGACACTCTGTTAACCTGTGGCCGTGACAGCCCTACAAAAGAACATTGCGTTTCAGGCACCCTCATCCTTGTATGGTGAGACAGTGTTAATGAGCATGCCCTATTAACCAGGCTGAGGAGTCCCATCTAATTAATCGTTTCTGAGATGGAAGCCACTCCAGCAATATGGAAATCAGAGCTACTCCCCGACTGCGGGAGCACTGCCCAGTTCCTCCCCAGTTCACCCCCAGTCAATGCCAGTGCAGAGTTCACTTTATATATTTTTATGTGAATAATTCTTTAGAAATCTCCTCGGTTTAATGAAATCTAGTGGCGACTGGCTCCGTATTTTAACCGTGTGGGTTTCAGTATTAAGGGACTCGGTCTACTCGGTGTGTGAAGGTCATTTCTTTAATTTCATGGCTTTTTTCAAGGTGTTTTGTCTTTATGAGATGCCTGCAGTTCAGTTGGTTTCTAGCGTGATGGATTTCATATTGATGAAGACAGCAGATTGCGGGAATATGATCATGAATATAATGACAGGAAGGAGGGTCTGAGGAATGTGCCAGTGCAGGGTTTCTGCTCTTGAGATCTTTAT